AGATAATACAAGAGATATATGATAAAATAATAGAGATAAAAATGATATTTCATCATCTAACATACAAAAATATAAAGTGAATCTTTGAAATAACTAGTCTAGAGATCTCAACAAGTCTCAAATACAGAATATCTGATAAAAGGAAATAAGGCACATAGCCTTTACAACTTCTAGAATATAACTCTCAAATGACTAAACAAAATATCTACAGTGGAGCTCCATAAATAAAATAAAACTACAAATAAAAGATGGACGCTAATAAGTATCGCCATCAACTTGCGACTCTTCGTGCACCTGGCTCGTTACCTGAAATGAGAGGGGACAACGAGTGTCAAAGCGCTAGCGAGCAACATCACAACCAACCCCAAGGGAGAGGGCTCGTTGCATATAGAAAATACAGTTAATACATATATACATGAAATCGTTGATCCTAACAATAAGAGGATTTTAGTATTTACGAAATTACAACACGAGCATAGATACGTCGAGCGAAATAATCCAAACAAGAAAACCCTCATGTATATACCTTGTATCTCAAATTATAAATCCCTAAATATCAAACCCAAGATCTAATACAGGAACAATAATATAAAGAAGACTAACCCATCTCAGAACTCAAATACCATGTCATGTCAAAACCCATATAAGTGTCATGTCTAGCCTATATAAGTGTAAGTGTCATACTCAAGGTTTAAACAGGTGTCCAACACATGGACTAAGACTAGGTGCAGTGGATGCCCAACACATGGACTGCATATATAAATTGTCTAACACATGGACTGAATGATGAATGTCCAACACATGGACTGAATATAATGAATGTCCAACACATAGACTGAATATGATAAATATCCAACACATGGACTGCACATAATAATTACCCAACACATGGACTGAATGAAATGTGTATAATATGATTAAATATATGAAAAGGATGCATATACACTAATTTCACACGTGTCTCGGTATGCAAATCTAAACTCATGTCCGCAAGCCATCTCACATATGAAGATACATAATAAATAATAATTTCTAACGCTAAAAATTCAAGGCAACTCCTCGTTCATATTAAAGCACACAACAAAAGTAAACATGCACAAATTATGCCGGCGATCAACCGAAACAGGCAGAAACCCTTCACATGTTTCTGTCTGCTTCAAAACAAATCTAGAAGTAACATTATTATTTTCTAAGCATAATATTACTGATATCAACATATATGAAACAACATGAAACGAAATATTAGCATGTAAATATATCATCGAAACCCTAAACATTTATATACACATATTTAAACATTTTAACAACAAAAACTTGTGATTTAATTCATGATTAATAAATTTTAGATCTGAAATTTTTCAAGGTTACTATTGTAATCAATTAGAAAATTATGATAATGTATTCTCACTTCATAAGTTATAAAGATCTATCTTTTGTACACTAAAAATACGTTTTAGGCTCAAAAAATCCGAATAAAACTTAATAAAACCTGCAAAATAAAAGGGTGCAGAGTTGGGCAAGATGTTACTCGTCTCAGATGCTAAAAAACTCCTGCCACATGAAAGAGAACCAATCCCCTTCGTTGCACTGCACAAAACCCGCTGAAAAATCCTCTGAAATCCCTGAAAATCACCGAAGAAAAGAACTAGGGTTTGAGAGAGGGGAAAAGGGGCTGCTAGGTTTTGGAACACATGATAAAAGAGGTATTTTTCATATTTAAACATGTGTATATATGACAGCAAACCCGAAAAACTACAACCTAAAACCCGAAACCGGAAACTGAAAAACCTAGTCTGACTAGAAACATACTCTTTGGTATTTTGGCTGTAACTTTCGTATCTGATCTCGGAATGAGGTGATTAAAGATTTGTTGGAAAGATACTGAAGATATCTACAATTTTAGTCTTTTAAGTTTTTCCATATTCACAACATATCAGTATGTAAAATACAAATTCTCTCCACTAGTCATAAATTTCCAGATTTATACATCGAGCATGATTTGTGCATTTGCTCTTATATATATACATATATACATTGAATTGATCTCAAATCAATTCCTAGCATTATCAAACATCATAATATGTTATTTATAAATATATAACATATTTATTATTATTTATCATAAAATATTTAAATTTTTGGGGTTTTATAGGTGAAGCATGTCGTAGCATGGTGTTTGGTACTTGACAGGTTTGACATTCTTAGTTTCACCTTGGACTGCAGCCTTATTAAAACTAGGGGCGTCACAATATGGATTAAAGACTTGATTATACTATTTTACATCTTTTATAAAGTTTATTAATCCACTTAAGAGAAGTTTCAAACCTGTTTGAAAACATTGTGTCAAAATCATGTGTTGTTGAAAATTCGTGTTTTGAACTATTTTGTAAAATGAAGAGTTTTTACAAATAGGAAATACAACTTGAAAAATTCTTTTTCTTAACATGTTCATTTTCATGTTTATAAACATTTTCACAAGTTTTATATTTTTTAAAATTTATTTGATATTTTTAAAGAGGTTCTAAAGTTAAAATTTACTGCGCATTTCAGGTTCTATGCACGTTTAAGTCGACTCATAAGTCGACTTATAATATGTTGTGTAGTTATATGTTTTCGTCTGTTGAGTCGACTTATAACTCATACAAGTCGACTCATGAAGACATAAGTCGACTTACATTTGTCATAAGTCGACTTATAATGTGATCGTTGCACAGTAACGGTTATTTTTCAGAATTTATGGATTTTGTGTTTTTTCTTGGATTTTGCTGGTTTCTTGGGCTGAGTTCTTCTACCCTATATGTACCCCTTTGGCATAACTATTTCTAAGAAACCAAGAAAGTTTTAAAAGAAGTTTAAGAGTGTTTTAAAGTTTGTTTAAGTGTGTTTTCACAAGTGTTTTGTGAAGAAAGTTTCACAATAAGAAGAGGAGATTAATTCTATTGTTTGAGCTTCAATTTCATCTATCTCCCTCTCTTGTTTTTCAGAGAAGATTCCTCTAAACTCAATTTCTAGTTTTATACATTTAGTTGTTATTTATTCATTTTATTTAGCTAGAATTTACATTGAGTTTAGTTTTGATATTGCTCATTGTTTACACACACCTACTTAAGCTTAAATATTTCATACATAGTATATTAGGGTTATGAGAGTGTAACATTAAGTGTGAGCTTAATTGTGCTTTCCTCTTGTTTAGAGAACAAATTATTTGTTATTGTGATTAATTGCGAGATACACTTTGTAATACATTTATACACCGATGGAAGTGTGTGGTGAGAGACGGGGTCGATTCCAAGAGGAGTGAGGTCGGTGGTAAAGCCTAGAGAGAGGTGATAATTCCGAGCACTTGAGAAAGGTGGCACGGGCTAGGCCAACACTTAGAGGGTGTAGAGTGTGTTTGTAAGAGTGTAAGTTGTGAAAGTTTTCGATGAGCTAGAAAACCAAGATTGTGAGGTGTAAACGTTTTCAGTTAGCGTTGAAAACCAGTTGAGATGGTGGAGTTCTCCTCAAGAGTGGGGAATGGAGACGTAGGTTGGAAGGACCGAACTCCGTGATCATTTTCTTGTGTTTGTATTAATTAGTTGCCCACTATCTTGTTTATATTGTTTTATGTCTATTTCACCCTTGTGTTAATTACATATCCTTGCACATATAGGTTGTTGAATATCACACTTGTTAGGATATTTGTTAATAAGTTTTTAATTGGCATTAATATCGAATTAGATTAGCATATTACCTTATTCACCCCCCTCTAGGATAATTTCACTTGTGTGCATATAAAATATTGGAGAATTGTTTCTAGGAATTAAAACCGGAGATCGAAAAAAATTTGGATAATATTTTGTTTCTGTGAAAAATTAAAACAATTTTTTTTTTCATTTTAAAAAGAAATGACTGAATGAGGTTATGGGAATTTGATATTATTTGCGATTTTTATAATTAGAATTAATCACAAAAGATATTGCAAAAGATACAATAATTGACGATAAATTGGTTTTTACTGTATATATTTGTTTAAATTAAAGGTTGAAATATTATAGCAATAAAAATGGACTTTTTAGATGGGATGATACGTGTTAAAAAAAATTGAGAAGGAGGAAACTAATGTGGCATACTCTGGTGAGTTTTTTAATTTTGTTTTAATCTATACCCTAATAATAGTTTTTTAGAAATTATGAAGTTAATAAGTTTTATTTTAAATTAATTATAGTGATATAATATTCAGTTAAAAAAAAAGAAAAAAGCATATAAAGAGAGGAGCAAGAGTAGAGATGATCTAATCTGATG